AGGGGTAGTTCGGCGGCAGCGCGACCCGCAATCCTCCCCTCCTTCCCCGGGGCGGTGGCAGCGGTCAGCCGTGACACGCTCTGCCCGCCCCGCGGCGTCCCCGCTGGGGCCTCCCTTTGGCGTGAGGGGGACGGGCGGGAGCGCCTCACCGGGGGAGGCTGCTGTCGGTTCGGGCGGGTGAGGAGAGCCGTGCTGCCGGTGCAGCCCCTCGGCTTCCCCCTTGTTTTGAAGCCGGGACGACGACGACGACGACGACGACGAACGACCCGTGACCGTGTGGCTTCCCGCCCACGCGTGAAGGCGGCGTGGGTCGGAGAAAGGTGGAGGAAGCCGGGGGGGTTCGTGCGCGGTCTGGCGTGGGGAGGGGGTGGCGGAGCAACCGGCGATTTTCCGTGGCTGGTGACAGGTCGTGGGGCTCGGCCCGGCAACCGCCAACGCTGCGATTCCTCTTCCCCTTCCCACGCAGAAAACTCCTTCAGAAGGAGCAGGAAGGGCTTGGATAGAGTTTGGGATCCTTCCTCTTCGTTATTTTAATTTGAAGTCATTGTAGTGGAAAACGTGAGACTGGGGCAGAGACATGCCCCCCCCCCCCCTTTTTTTCCTTAATTCCTTAAAAGAAAACAGGGTGTATACATGTGCTCGTAGTCATTTTATTCTCTTATAATTACTGCGGTGTGAGTTCTTACTGTGTGTGTTAAAGTACTGGTTTTACTCTGAATTATTTTCTTTAGTATAATTCTCTAGGCAAAATATTTGTAATGCCTTTCATCCTAGCACATCCTATGGCACTTCTTAGACAATAAACTTGGTACACATCAGCACTGTAACTGGTGTTAAATCCAGCAGTTGAGCCCGTGTAGAAAACAAATAACCGGTATTCTACCCGTCAGTGTACAAAGCTGGAGAAGATGTAGTTGTCTATGCAGAAAATGTTCTGTGTAAGTAGAACTTGAGGAACATCTGGTGTGATCAGCCCATTTGAGTGCCTGAAACGTGAGCTGGTCTGCTCAGGTTTCTGATAATTAGAATTGCATTTACTGGTTTGCAGTAGTGACATAGCAAGTATCTGATCTGTATCCTTCTTCCCTGAAAAGGAGAACAGCTGGTTGTATACCTATAAAAAATACCACGTAAAATCACAAAAGGTTCTTTTGTGCACACAATATAGAGGTTTGAGGCAGTGCTTAAATTGTGGTGACTCACCTATGTTGACATAAAAAAAAAAAAGGATGAATGTTTTCAAATTAAATCAACGAGGAAGAGAAAGGAAGTTTTATGCAGTTGATCACCAAAATAACGTCTTTTCCCCAATCAGATTTTTAAATTTTTCTGTAATTTTCTTTAAAAATTAAATGTCATTATAAAAGTAATTGATCAAATAAGTTTTTGTGCCTTACACAAAGGGATACACAGATTCTTCTGTGAAAATACGGACCTTTAACGTTGTTTCATGTTGAACCAATCAACATTTAGAGTGGTTTAATTTTAAATTGTTTTTTCTTATTATTATAATTTGGCGAAAGTTGACCTGGTCAGGACTTTACATTACATTGTTCTATTTCTCTCTTCCATATTTTTAATTCATATCCTGGTATCTTTGTTTTATTGCAGGAGACACCAACAAATGGAATACAAATTAACTTAAGCCTACACGAGGCTGGTGACACCTGAAAGAGGGTAGGCAAAATTGATATGTAAAGATGTGTTGAAAACTAACTTAATGGTGTTAATAATGATAGTAGTTGAGCACAGTTAGGTATGATGTGAAAGAACATACTCATCTGGATGCTAGAAGTGAACTAACACTTGTAAATAACTTTGAAAATACAGGAGGATGTGTTTAAATGTGGTCTTGAACTCAGGACTTGAGTTTTTGTCGGTCACCTGATGCCTTGTTTAGTAGCTATTGGAAAATGAAAAGATACTGAAAATGTAGCATTATAAATTATTTCTGATTATAGTCTGCAGAATGGTAATGTGACTGACTCATTGTCCTCTTTCCAGCTGAATCCTAAATTCTGTCTTCACAAATTCATTGCAAATTGAGACTCTAGAGGTTTGTCATTTACAGTCCCAGAAAAGACCATGACCAGTGACTTCTAATGAATAATTTTCTGATTTCAATGCAAAATAATGAAATGGATTAAGAGTTTTATGCAGGATAGGAAACTAAAATCTTGGGAGAACTGTGAAATATTGCTTTCTATAAGGCTTCTTTCCGTTTTTGCTGATCAGCAACATTTGCTTGGTTTCCCAGCATTACAGTTACCGTAACTGACTTAGCCAACTCTGGGATTTTTTGAAGCCATGTGTTCACCAGAGGAACTACGCAAATGATCAGTGAGATAGAAGTGTCTTTCAGTGAGATAGATGAAGGAGTGGATGCAGTCTTTGGAAAGTTTTTGCTGGAAGTGTAATTGTTTTATTAAAACTTACAGCAGTAGAGTGTTAGAACCTGTCTTTCAAAACATACATATTTTTTTCAAGTTTTCTTTCTTACAACTCACGGGGGTTGGGAAGAATAATGGACATATGTTTCCTTTTCTTCCTTCCAGGGAAAGTGGAGAAGCTGTGCTCTGTGCTTTCTGTCTGACCTGCTGGGAGTACCTTTTGGAGCATGTTTGCTACTTAACAGGGAACTGAAATTCAGGTATGATCCATTTAAAAAAAAAAAAAAAAAAAAAGTTGATTTTGATTATTATGTCATTTTATCCCATTTGATACTGTCCTTATGTTACTGTTGCTGAAATCCATTTCCCCAGTCATACATATTTGGTAATCTTTAATGAGTTAAAAATTCTAAAAAGAATATTCTTATGGTTATCAATTTGTGCATTGATTCATGCTGTATGATAAAAGTAATCCTTCACTTAAAAACAAGGCTTTAAAATTTTTTTATGAATGCATTCAAATTCAATGACACTTGTGTTTTGAAAATATTTTTCCTTCTAGGCACAAGTGGTTGTAAACATAAAGAGGGAATATGGGTGAAAAGAAGCCAGAACCTTTGGACTTTGTAAAAGATTTTCAGGAATATCTTACACAGCAGACTCACCATGTAAATATGATTTCTGGATCAGTTAGTGGAGATAAGGAAGCAGAGACTCTTCAGGGAGGTAAGCTAATTTCAGTGCTATCAAATTTTATTTTTTTGAGAATGACTGCATTGTTTACATTCCAGATAATTATGGAGGCTATTACAATTATATGGAAGCATCTCTGATAGTCGTTTTCACATCACAAAAGATACGTATGTACTTTTGGTTTAATCATGGTATGTTTTTATAGTTCTGTGTATTTAAAGACCAAGGGCATAGAGAAGCAAAAGTTATTTGGCACAATCTCACAGCAAAATAGATAGTATCCCACTGATGCTTGACTGAAATCTCTTGGTTATTCACAGCTGGGACAGAAGGTGATCAGAATGGTCTGGATCATCCTTCTGTTGAAGTTTCACTGGATGAGAACTCAGGAATGTTAGTGGATGGGTTTGAAAGGACATTTGATGGAAAGTTAAAGTGTCGATACTGCAACTATGCCAGCAAAGGAACAGCACGGCTTATAGAGCATATCAGAATTCATACAGGTATGAAGTATTCTGCAGTACTTTGCTGTGAGGCATTGTGATACTAAGTCAATGGTATGATTTGCAAGTGAGGAGTTGGCATCTTCAAGCAGTGTGATAGTTCATGGAGTTACTCAACAATTAGAAGCGTTGAGGTTTTTTTAATAGACTGGTTTTTTAAGAGTGTGCCCTGTACCTATTTAAATTATGCAAATTTCTGCTTACATTTATTATTGCAACTATTGAATTTGAAGTAACTATATATGGGAGTAAAGTTTAGCGTGAAAGCATCAGTGTAAATTGAAGGGCCCTAAATGTAACTTTTAGTTTTTCCTTGCTAATCAGAAAAGTGAAAAATGTACATGTTGCCATGTGGAGATTTATAGGGGCTGCTTCTCCTCTGTTGTTTAGCTGTGAAAATACTACTGTTTTGCACAACATTCTAGATGTGGAAGTATAAAACATAGTAATAAGAATAAAGTTTTCATGTTGGTAGAATATTCAAATGTGAAGGCATATCGTCAAATAAGTGATTAATAACAGTAATGAAAAGAAAAAATACTTACTGTGGCTTCTTTAAGAGCATTTGCCACTGTTGGGTTTATAAAGCTGAAAAGCAAAACTCTTAGTAAAGGTTAGAATATCCTAAACTGTTCATGAAGTCAGCTCTGACTTCTTGGCAAATGAGAGAAAACAAACGAAAGGTCCTTGTGAAGTCTGACTTTGGTGCCTGCCCAGTGTATTACACCAATACTGAAGACTTTATGGCTGTTAACTAGAGTAATAAGAAAAATTGTATTCTGCAAAGAATGGAAGTTTCTACAGGTGTCCAGTCTGGTATGCACTGTCCCAAAACTTTTAAGCATATCGTTTCAGTGGTCTTGGGCAGGTGGCCTTCTGGGACTCCCTTTGAAGGAAATGCATTGTTGTAACTTGGATGTAATTGTAGCTCTCTTTGGGTATGGTTATTGTTAATCAGATGCTTGCTTTGCTGTGAACCATTGCTTCTACACAGTAACTCCCAGGATGTATTTTGGGGAAGTCAGTGCTCCTTGCACTGGCCCTGCAGTGTTGGCTTGTTTTGACAAGGCATAACAGGATAGAAAATGGCAACCAACTAGAAATCAAAGAGTTCTGAGGTTTAGACTCTGAAGATCTTGTAAATTCTTCTCTTGTGCTACCGTGAGCTACCTCTGTGTGTAGCTGTTGCTGTTTTCAGATTCTCAGTGGAAATTTCATGTAGATCCAATAGTGGATAAAATACTGTGGCTTGTGAACCTGCATTTGACACAGTGTTAATGCTATGGCTTGCTGCACATCTGCAAAGCAGCGGTGTGTTTTGGAGCATTATTTTTGTCTGGTTTTTCATAAAGCAGTTACAGCTTCACCTACCATTTGCCTCATATGGTCTGTGAACAACGAGAGATCTTTTCTTTTTAACAGCTTTACTCTGCGCAGTGCTATTTCTGAGCTTGTGAAATGAGGATGATGCAGTAGTGGGAGAAACTGTACTGCAGACTTACACAGTTCATTTTTAAAAGGTACTTAGAGGTGCAGAAGTAACATCAACTTTAAAATTCCATGTCTTTTCAGTAGCCTATAGCTATTGCCATCTAAAAACTTGCATCCCCAAGCCCACAGTTACTACTGGCCAGTTGTCAACATGAGCAGATGGACTGCTAGAGCTGTGATGGGAAACACAAATTACTACTCGAAGAAGTTGGTGTTGTGCGTTCGCTGATTCTTGAGAAGTTTTTGATGGCTTTGGTGCGCATGGGGTTTCTCAAACAGAATGACTGAAATAACGTGTTGTTACTTAATGCCAAATGTCATAAATTATAGCCATACTAGAGAGCAAAAATTCAAATCTTCCTCCTTTAAGTATCAAAATGTAGTTATTGGTATAGTGTCAGCATTCCTTCTCTTACTGTAGGAAGTTGCCTACCTTTCTTATACTCTCAGATCTTAGGTTAACAGTTCTTTTGTGTTTTCAGAATGCTTTCTTATCCTGCTGCTACTTTAGGGAGTAGAGGTTACTAAGTGGCTAGAGGTAGCAGAACAATTCCTGGTGCAGATTATGACCATTTCAGCATGGTTGCAACATAATATATACAAAAGCAAGAAGGATTCCAACCAAGAATTAGGATGCTAAGAAACATCCTCAAAAATCTCTGACCCAGTGGTCATTATTCAGAAGCAAACATTCCATGAGCTACACAAACTCAGTTTTTAGGGCAAAGCGTAATACTTGGGGTTTGTGCCTTGACTAACATTTTGAGTCATTTCACATGGTCACAATATATGGTATTGTTAGCATTATACCAGAAGAAAAGAGCTTTACGTGTGGGGTGACTATTGTCTCAGTGCAGCTGCAGGTATTCCTGTTATCAGAGGGTATATGCATAACTCATTTCATCAAAGAAACTTTCACAAAGGTGCTAGGAAAAGGTAGCCATATCGAAGGCGCACGTTGCTCTACTGCAAAATCACGCAGTCTGAATTACTTCCATTTTCAGAAAGCTAACTAGCAGTGAGAGAGGGATGCAGGGGGTGTCAGCCTATCGTCTACCAAAGAGCTTCAGCAATTTGGACACACCTTCACACAGTGAATGGTTTGTAGCCAGGTTACTGGTTCAAACATGCCTGATGCCTAATGAAATACCAATAACTGTACAATGATAACAGTTCATTTCCCTATAGCAATCTGTTCAGCTTTATAATATAGACAGGCTGTCAGAGGTTTATTTGTTTTTCTGTATAGTTTCCCCTTTGCTTTTTTACAATACGTTTCATATCCTTAATTTTAATACACACTGTGTGGTGTCCTGACAGCAACACCATTTTGGCATTAACTTAACGGCTCTTCAGAAAGCCCCACTTTGTTTCTTTGTACAGAGACAGAGGGCTCCAGAACAAGCAAGGGTTTTTTTGTGGTGGTTTTTTTTTTCTTGTTTTTTTTCCACTTAAGGACAAGGACATCCAAGACCTGAGTGTAGTTTTGCTCAGAAGCATAGTGGGGAAGCGTGCAAGGGGCCAAGAGATGGATTGCATGGACTAGGAAGGCTCAGAGTGACTGAATCAGCATTAAAATAGGGAAGTGATAGCTGCCTAGTAGCCTCAGAGCAATGTAAGTAAACAGGTAATGCATCCTGGATAACATGCAAGTGCAGCAAGGTATCTGCCAAAGTAATTATGATCCAGGCATGATCACGCAACCATTATCAAGTGCAACTTACTGCAGAATTAACTTCATGCTGAGTCTGACAGCAGTATAATTAGCAGTTCATCAGCTGTGGTGTATTAAGGGTGTGCAACACGGGATGCAAATCTTTATCTCTGTGTAACCAGTTTAGAATGAAATTAGCCCATTCAGATTGACAAATTCTTTGTGAATGCAGGGAGTTTGTCAGCCTTTTTACATCATTGTTTGTACCAAATCTCCAGATCTTTACACATACATATCTATCTGAATACATTTTATGCTTATGGAGAAATCATGGTTTCAGTTGGTGCAAATAAGGTACCTAGAGGCAGCACAAAAATTGCTTGCTTTCCTCTTGAAGAGCCAGTGATGTAGGAGAAAAGAAAAATCTCCTATTCAGTATCCCAGATTGTGATTCCAAACTGTAGGATGCTCCACACAGGAAGGGCTTGCTGCATTAGTCACATGCCATCTTATGGGGCTTGTACAGTGCTTGCAGTGTAATAGTGGCCCTTGTTCCCTTCAGTCTTTGGGTTTTACAGTTGTTCTAGATGGGTTTTGAAAGCCAAAAAACAGATGTATTGCCCTGTATTTAAAATAGTAGAAAATATTAAAAAAAAAAAAAAAGAGGCTGAAGAGAAGGAGCCCACTCACATTTTTTTGGAGTTTGTCATGCTGTGTGGCAAGAGAATCGGTTGCTTAACAGTGATTTAGAAATTGACCTGGCATTCTAGATAGGAAGATAAGATGATGTTTCATTTCAGCACCTGAACATGCATCAAATCCTTTAGGCATTTCTAACATTGCAGACCTGGATCTAAAAAATCCTAAAAGATCAGTCTATGAAGGAAAATCAAAAGTCCCGAAGTATTATGTTACAAATGTGTTGGCCTGTAATTGTTTGAAAGTTTTCTAAATACTTTTAAAAGTGTTAATGTTATTATCTCTAAATATCATTTAATAGAAGAGGAAAGTTCTACTTATCAGAAAGGAGAATATCTGGTATTATCATGTCTGAGAGAACACACAGTTGTCCAGGGCTTAGCTGGCTTTTGTTTTCTTTAATAACTCTTAAGCCACAGGATCCTTTTTCAAAATTCAGTTCTTAAGCGGATGCATGTGTATGTGGGTTATTTAGATAATAGTTCCAGGATGTTTAAAACTAGGAGTGTTTGGAAGATACTGAAAGGATACTCTCCCTCAATGTTTAAACACAGTTACCATTAAGAATGATTACATTTTGGTGGTGCAGACATTCCTGTAGCCAACTGCTTATGTGCTTTATAGGTGAGGTAGAGTTTGGATCCAGTTAAGAGCACTGCACAAACATCACTGCATTCAGTCCTTGGCATCATTGCTGCAATTCCTAGTCAGGTTATCTGTTATGCTAATTCTGGTCACATTTTTGTTCTTACACTTATTGTCACTTGGGTGAGGCAGAGATGTCTAAATTTACTTTTCCACCAAATAACCAGCTAAACTTAAGACTAGCAGTGACTCTGAAGCTGAACTGTTAGATTAGCAGCTCCTATTTAGCTACTTTCTGTTCCATTAAAAGCCTTTTTCAGGCACTCTGAGATGCTACAGTTAATCTGTTGTAATTTTCCAGGTGAGAAGCCGCACAGATGCCATTTATGTCCCTTTGCATCAGCTTATGAACGTCATCTGGAAGCTCATATGCGATCGCATACTGGTGAAAAACCATACAAATGTGAATTGTGTTCCTTTCGCTGCAGTGACAGAAGCAACTTATCTCACCACCGCAGACGCAAACATAAAATGGTGCCTGTCAAGGGTACAAGGTCTTCCCTAAGCAGCAAGAAAATGTGGGGGGTTTTGCAGAAGAAGACCAGCAATTTAGGGTACAGCAGAAGAGCATTAATTAATTTGAGTCCACCTTCCATGGTGGTTCAGAAACCAGACTACCTTAATGATTTCACTCATGAAATCCCAAATATCCAGACTGAAGCATACGAGAGCATGACCAAAACAACCCAGAGCAGTGGGTTGCCAAGAGATCCACAAGACCTTATGGTAGATAATCCTTTAAATCAGCTCTCTACATTAGCTGGACAGTTATCTAGCTTGCCACCTGAAAACCAAAATCCAGCCTCTCCTGACGTTGTTTCCTGTCAAGATGAAAAGCCTTTCATGATACAGCAGCCTGCTGCACCTGCAGTAGTTTCAGCTGTGTCAGCAAATATTCCTCAAAGTTCATCTCCAACCAGCCCAGATCCTCGACCTACACACAATCAACGGAACTATAGCCCCGTGGCAGGTCCCAGCAGTGATCGCAGTGCCCACACCAGTACTCCCAGCATAAGTAACAGTCAACCAAGTACTCCAGCTCCAACCCTTCCAGTTCAGGACCCTCAGCTTCTGCATCACTGCCAACACTGTGACATGTACTTTGCGGACAATATCCTTTATACTATTCACATGGGATGTCATGGATTTGAAAATCCTTTTCAGTGCAACATATGTGGGTGTAAGTGTAAAAATAAGTATGACTTTGCTTGCCATTTTGCAAGAGGCCAACATAGTCAACATTGACTGAGAACGTGCTTTCATTTAGTTTTTTAACATATTACAGTATATTTTTCATACTTGCTGAAGGAAAGCTTGCACATGCCCATAAGGAATCTTCACGTTAGTCAATTCGACAAAGGAGGCAAATTTATTTCTGTGTTGTCGTAAAACTTGCCAGGGAAATTTTGTGTAAGATGTAGTTGTTATTTTATATGTAGCCTTTCAAAAAAGCTGAGTGAGTGCTGTAAGAATTGGAATGCATTTACATGCTTTGATCGCTAAATTTAAGTTGCTTGCACTTAATCCCAATAAATGTTCTACAAATGTAGAAGCAGAGTGTGTCCTGAAATGTAGGTTGCTATTATCAGACTATTTACTAGGCAAGACGAAATATATTAACCATAAAATACGAAAGGTTAATGCAATGACACATATGGTTACTTTGGAGACGTACTTGTCCTTAAAAACCTAGCTGCTCCAAATGGGAAAAACAAACAGAAACAACTTTCATATACAAATTCAATTTGATGTAAAACTTGCTGTAATCTGATGAAGGTTAATAATTTATGTTTTTGCTTAGTATAGTCTAAACTCTTCATGCTAGGGTTCAAACACTAATTTAACTATTATTTTTAAAGCTCATCACAAAACTAGAAGATAACAGGTTATTGTGAATGAAACTCTGGTAGGAAAAAAGAGTTAAAAGCTTGTCATTCACTAGTTATACAAAAGAAAAATTAAATATGACACCTTATTTTAAACTACACTTACCAAATTTTAAGTGTCATTTTTTTTAAAAGGAGGTAATTTTAAACAGTCATAATAAAGAGCTTGTAGAACTAATATATATTCCGTGAGATTTTTAACTGCCTTAAACTAATTTGTACAGATATTTAAAATTTGCACAATTAGACTTCTGTCTTGCTGATAGAAGTTCTAGTAGAAACAAACAAGAGGTTTACAAATTAAAAATCATTTGTTCAGTTTTATCTCGGGCCAAGCTACAACTGATAGGTTGCCTGCATGTTTGAAAGTTGTATAATCTAGCTTATTGTAAACTTAGGCTAACTTGGAAGTCAGTTTGTCTTGTCCTCTCCCCTGGATTTGTTGTCCGTTCAGTGTGCTAGAAATAAGGGGAAGGGCTTCTGGGTTTTCTGAACTGTTCATATAGTAGGGAAAGGAATACCGGCTGACTACATTTGAAGTCATTGTGATTAATAATTGTAGGTGGCGAATGGTAACTAAAGATGTACATGAAGTCCATTGCACATGTTTATTTTTTTTATACTGTACATCTTACTTTAGAAGCACCTAGGCTAATGGACAGGCACTTTAATGTAAACCTAAATAAAACTTCCTAGCAAGAATTAATGAAAGCTCTTAATGTGCTACACAGGAATTTGTAATGTTTCAAAAAAAAAAGTGAAGAACTGTTACTTTTCCCATATTTAGACATGCACTTTTACCTTAGTTTGTCTTACTTGAGACAACTTAAAGCTTCCCTTATATATTCCCCTTTTACTATCAGCAGATTATGGCAGCAAATATGTTTTGTTAGAAGCAGGAAGATTTTATTAATGTTCTGCAAGTCAGAGGTTGGAATCTGAATAGCATACGTTTGGCTTATTCAAATGTATATTGTTATGGGAGCTAAAGCTTCCTGAGGCCAATAGAAAAACTTACAATGACTTCAGTGTAAGATCAACGCAGGAAAAACTACCCTTCTGAGAATTTTAGCTTTAGAAGTAATTTTGACTTCAGTGAACTAGAAATTTTCAAACCAAATATGTTTCTACCTAACTTACCTACTGTTGAATTTTCTGTGCTTAAGTAACCAGCTGAAGGAACTGGATTCTTGGCTGCACGTAGTCTTGTAGTAATGAGGTCAAAAATATGCCATTGAAGTACTTCCGGTGTAGTGAAGATGAATGATAGCACACTATCACTCTTAAAAATGTCTTTGGTTTCAGGCCTGGTTCAAAATCCTTTTCAGTGGATTTGTAAAAGAGAATGTAATTTCTATTTTTCATAGTGACACTCTTTATAATTCCAAAATATCTCTTTATTGCTTTATACTTTCAAAATTTATTTTAAAAGCAACACTGCAACTCTGTGTGCATAAACATAGAGAGTCCTTTATTTTAAGGACGAAACTTGATTGAACTGGAATCCAGTTGGAATTTACTGCTCCTATACAGGTTTTGTAACATGACCGTTCTAGTCAAGAGAGTAATGTAGAAATGATAGCTCTCTTTTGATCATGTATTGACACATTCTAAAATCTAAATTTGGTAAAAATACAATATTAGAACAACAGACGTTAGTGTTGAAGACCATTACAATTAGTAATTGATAGAGGTCACTTTCCTTGCCTTTTGATAGGTGAAGCAAACTTCTATTCCTAGGCTCTAGCAACTCCAAGGAAACTTCTGGAGTGGGGGTGCTCCAAGGAGCACCTTCCAGGACTGAACGATGCCGATCACAACAGCCAAGTTCTCCTTGGTTTGTGGCTCCAGCCTTTCTTCCTCTTGGTATTGGTAGGGAGGTTAACTCCGATGTGCACAGATGTTTGAGATTTTGTCCTTCCATTCCATTTATGTGGTTTCTGGCCCATTAGGAATTTCACAGGCAGTGCCTGTAAACGTTACAGACTTTTCTTTTTGTGTTTGCTAATCATTTGGTGATTTAGAAAAATGACTTCTGAATCATGATGCCCCTGAACGAAATTTCAGGTAAGAGAATAGATAGGTCACTAATAGAGGTAGCTGCTAGCAAGAGGAAGCCTGCATGATCTTACTGAAAAGGGGCCCTCATTTAAGAGGGGATCCTCTGTTATGGGGGGAAGGTGGAAAAAAAACCACCCCAAAAACCCCTAACCCCAGACCTTGCAAATTGTTGTTCAGAAGTATTTTAATACTGCTGACTTAATACCATTGTTTCTGCTTCGAAGTACCTAAGGAAAAGAAAACGAGCTTGAACACCTATGAACTGTTGAACAATGATAAAAATATTTTTCCTTCTTTCCTTGTGCAAGCTCCTGTTTGCAGGGGGGCGGTTCTTAGGCAGCAGCAGGCTTTGGTGTTCATCCCTTGATCTGCAACCAGACCTGCGGGGCAGATCCCTGCTGACTAGTCCTTCAGAGAGGGTCCCCCTCTGGACTAGGATTCTTAAATTTTCAGCATAATACTGTATGTTCGGTTGTGCCAAACAGTACCCTGACTATATCTGTTTCCTTCTGTCTACTGAGTAGGATTGGAAGGTGTATTTTCATATTAGTTTTTCACAATTTTGTACATACTGTTTACTATAATTTAAAGACCAGAATTAGTACTGGAAAATTGTTGTAGAGTACGATCCTGATGATTCACTTGTACAAGCAGGCCTTGCTGAGTCAAGGAGGGATGCTTGTCAGGAATTGTGGGATTGAGTCCTTGGTTAGTAGGACTTTTCATATTGAGTTCTCCATGTGCTACACTGCACTACCTTGTTTTTGTTTTAAAAACCAAATCCTTATATTATAAGGTGACAATTAGCATTTTAACTTGTATTAACAGGGAAGTTTGGGAATGAGCTGAAATTTTTCCATAGCTTGACTCTGTTAAGTTCTGTAGTTGCAAAACATTAACTTTGTAGGGTTTTTGTGTTGTAATAGATTATTTTATGGATTTGTTGACATTTTTAACATGCACTATTTATAGTACTCTTAATACAGACTTATTGTGAGACTGAATAGTCCGATGAACATGCAGATACTAGACTGAAGATCATAGGATATTATCTTGGTTAATACTGAAACCAACTGTAAAGCAGCTAATAGGGAAAAATAGTTGTTTTTTTCACAGATACATGTTTAGATGAAGAGGATTTTGACATAAAGTGTTGATTGGCATTTTAACGTAAAACTCGGTGCTGGAAGACACATTCCAACAGTGTTTCCTAGCAAAATGATCTGTTGCTATTTGTTTTGTTCCAGAATGTGGGGGGGGGGGGGGTTGCTTGTTTGTTTTTTGTTTCTTTTTGACGAAGGGAATGTAATTTAGAAGTCTTCACTGGCAAGTTTTCTATTAATTTTAAGCTTCTTTGAAAATCTACAGCAAATGGATGTTCTGCTGCAGGAAATCTATCCCCTGCTGAAGCATTTTTCATTGAGCAATCTTTGTGTATGTGCTTCTAAGTACCTGCTTTGTTAATAATATGTATTTCAGTGTAAAGAGCATATTTTGTATGCAAAAATGAAACCCGTTAGAGTTGTAAAATAAATTTTATTGTGTAGTGAATGTTTTCAGATGACAAGGTTAATTCTGAAATAACTCGACTATATCTAGTGTAGTTCATGTTGTGAAGCTTTGCTTTTGTAAGATACGAATAAAATAACACTTTCTAATTAAGTCTCCTGTTAATTCTTAATTGCATATGCTTGAACAGGTACAACTGGTGAACTGCTCATGACTAGCTCTGGTCTAGATATGGTAAGGAAGGTAAGCTTACCTCTTGGGGAAGCAAGGAACAGTGCATTTATGTTTCAGTCTGCTTAAGTTGAAAACCAGGACACACTTCTACCCCTTTCCACTGTTAACCCTGCACATCTGGTCATCTTCCAAATCCTTTTTTTCCTCATACTCATATTTCCTTCTTATCAAGAGTGCTTCTGTGTCTGAAATGAGAGTTTTTATCATGGTGAGGTGGTTGTCACTGCATATGGAACTTCTGTGTGTGTTGTTATTAGCAACTTTGAAGGTGGCACCAAGTTACAAGTACCTTTTGGACACTGGAGTTAATCCCACATGTGTGTACATGCATGCAACTCTCAAGTTTCTGATTCTTTGCAGTTTCTGTCAGGGAAAGAAGCAGAAAAGCCAAGAGCCATCCATCTTGCTTCTTGTTATACCTTCCTAGACATGTATTCTCTGGCAATGCTCAGGTACCTGTTTGACAGAGCCAAGCCTGTCACCATGCAAGGTGCTCTTCAAAACCTCAGCTGGAGGAGGCTCTGAGGAAGCTCATCCAGCTTGAAGTTTGTCCCCCCGTAAGCAGGGAACAGGACTAGATGACTTGTAAGTGTTCCTCCCAGGCTTTTTCTATGATTCTGTGGAATTTAAATAAAATCTAAGGCTGGTTTGTTGTTGGCTTGATCCTCAAAGTCAAACACGGTATGCTAGACTATTTCTCTTCCATAATGCAGGGAGAGGAGTTATTAGAGAAGGCAGGATCCTCCATAGAAGGAAGCTGTATCTCGTAAGATGTTTTCAGCTGTACTGCTGAAAGAGTACTGCATTTTAAACACTCTGGAGTTAAACACCAACAGTCTCTGTCACTATTTTAAAATATATTTATTAACTACATTGGTTGCCTCATGTTGGAATGAAGAAATTACACTTGTAGCAGGGTCAGAATGTTGATTTTGTATGCAACTTTGGTTTTTCAACTCATTTCCTTGCCGCAAGTCTTCCAAAAATTCTGCTTTGAGTTTGTTGAGTTCTTCGGCCAGGCTCTTCATCTCACTTGAGGGTATGTTTTTATCTAAAAGAAAATTAAAGCTGAACTTCTATCTTCATGCTTAAAGACAAAATTTACAGACTTTGACTCACATTCTACAAACAACTTTGACCAGACTTCTGAAGGCGATTGCCTCAGTCAGGCCTGCAGGTCTGGGATTCCTTAACAATTTACCCCAAGGAAATTTCATAGGTTTAGTCCTATGTTGCCAGCTAGCACCTGGAATATGCTACGCGTACCTTTTGCGTCCTTCATTGTCTGAGAGATGATGCGTCTGCATGTCTGATCAGCCTGATGGACAGTACTAGCTGCACAGATTGCTCGATCGGCTTCCTACCCAGGGTGACAAACAGGAAGGAAGAATACATGCAAACGCGTTATATTTGATTTAGACTGTCATCAACTTTTGAAGTACTCTTTGAAAACAAGTAAAATGTTAGCAGCAACTCGGTGACGGGTGCAGTGCACACCTGTTCCTTGGAATGTGGAGGCGGGTATGTACACCTGGTGACTGACTGCCAGAGAGATATGTGTGACATTAAGAAGTGAACATTATTTTCCTCAGTGTGATGTGACAGCTCCAAAATCTTTTTACTACCCTAGAACATGTAACAGTATTCTTGAGGGTAGTTCAGTGGTTTAAATTAATAACATGACAGAAGTACACATTTCAAATAGGATTAACTCTTCTGTGTGTGCTTTTGCAATCAAGAAATGCAGTAGCTATTTTGCAGTTCCTGTCATCACGGTGTTCCGTGCACAATTCGGGAATAACTAACTCACTCATTCACCATCATCTGAAAGAGCTATGACTGTGAAGACAAGCAGTGCTACCTTTTGTTCAGTGTTTTCCTCATTTTGCTTCACTGGATTTTCCAAAGCAGCAGCCAGCAAACTAATTATCTGCTCACTAAGAAAACAAACAAAAGAGTAAGCCACATTAATCAAATGGTTTCACTGAAGACTTTTCTTTCATTTTGTACTGATGCCTCATCACAGGAAAAAAAGCAAGTTTTCAGTTAAATTCATGAAGCAATCAATGAAATAATCTTTATACAGCAAGTTAGGTGAAAAACAATTACAACTAGAACTACAGCAAATTATTTCCAGTCTTATGTTTCAGCCAATTACATAAACTTTCAGCAGCAGTTTAGAAGTGCAGTTAGTTTTGAGGTTAACTCTGCGAAGAATGATGGCTGTGAGTTCCCGACAACTGGCATGTATTGTGTGTGTAATTGCCTGGCTTCCAAAAACCACCATATAGAATATTTTTTTACATACTGTTTAGATGCAGTAAAAAGCTTCTACCCATCCGTTTATGAAAACAGTACTTAGTGAAAACCCTAGCATCAATCCAGTAGCATACTTATCCTCTGAAGTGCAATCAAAACTTTTCAGAATGAGGCTGTTCTGTTCCCAAGCATTTTTCTTGAGATCTGGCATTTCTATTCTTCTCGCCATTAAACATATTGTCTGGTCAGGTAATGGATGACTTCTTAGACGATTCCTCTGCAAGCAGCATTCAAGTGGACACTCTAAAAATAACTGGCAGAAGCTCAAGGAATCTAGAAGAAATAAACAGACAATCTTACCTTTAAACTGCTTAAGTAAAAACTTCTGAGAGCAACATGCACAAGAAAGGCTTTACACGAATGAGGAAGTGCTACACTCGTTTTGAGCCTGAAAAGAATACAAACCTAAAAAGAATACAAACAATTTTACCTTCAAGGCTGCCCAAGTAGTAATTTCTGAGATCAACATACATAAGAAGGGCTTTAAGCGACCTAGCAATTTCTAATAAAACAGTACTAAAGTTAAGTTGATGCTTACTATACCGCGGGAACCTAGCGATTAAGAGTAACAAATGTTCCACAAGAGCGCTGGAAGAAAGGCAGCTGAAGCGCACCGAACTCCCTACGAAGCTGAAAACGTTCTTACGCATAGCAACGAAGAGTAATTACATTTGCGAGCCAGCTGGTACACCTCGTATCTCATGCTCCGATAATAAAAATTGTCATCCAAGATCAGGTAGAGCGGCCTAGACGTGGCTGCAAGTGTCCAGGAACGGCCAGCCCCGGCGTCGCTTTCCGCTGAGGAGAGCAGCCCCTGCCCGTGGCAGCGGGCCAGGAAGCGCTCCCAGGCCGGCTGGGCGGCGGTGGCCGGGGCAGAGAGCGGGTCCCCGGTCACCACCGCCCGCAGGAACCGCTCCAGGCACTGCAGCAGCTCCCGCCGGCTCCGCTTCCAGCGGGGCAGCTGCGGAGGAAGGCAGCGGAGGGGTGAAGGCCCCGCGCACCCACCGCCCGCCCCAGGCCCCGCCGCGGGGGCAGCGGCAGCCGGGCGGGAAGGCCCGGCGTGAGGGCCGGGCCGCGCTGCCTAGCAACGGCCGCGGCCAGGCGCCTCGGCTGGCCAATGAGAGCAGAGAGCGGCGCAGCGGGAAGGAAGAAAACCGCCACTGACCAATGGGGACGGCTCCGCCGGTCCCGCCCCCGGCTCGGGCGAGCCGAAGGCCTCCGGCGGGATGAGCTCGTCGTAGTCGAGGAGGGCGCAGGCCCAGCCCGGCCGCTGCGGCAGGCGGCGGCGCAGGGCGCGGGCCAGCGTGGAC